AAATCACCTTCCTACTCAAGCAAGCATTGCCTTAATGATCAGATACAAATGTCTCTTAATAGCCTGGCCTCTTCCTACCTTTTCTGTGTTCTTACATACCTTCCTCTCCTCCATGAACCACTCTGCTCTTCCTCAAGCTCAGCACTCCATCCCCTGGCTCCAGACTGCGAACTGGCAGCAGCCTATGCCTGGAATGTTCCTCCTTGCTTCATCTCTGCCTCATAGTCTACGTCTATTTTTTCACAACTCAGCTTAAGTGCCACCTTCGGCAGGCAGCCTTCTTTTGTGACCCTCCCTATTCCCAAAGCTGTTAGGGCTTTGCCTTCCAAGTCTCCTACTATGAGATCAGGAGTTGAAATGGAGAGAGAGACAGCCACTGAGAAAAAAGAGAATGTTCTGAGAACAACATTCAGTAGCAAACAACCACCAGGAATTGGATTGGGTCATAAATATGGATTGAATGAACCTCAAAGGAGTAAAGGTTAACTTCAGAGGGATAGTGGGAGAGAGAGTGGTGGACATGACGGTGGAGAGTGGATAGTACTCTGACTCTTCCGCCATGCCCGGGGAGTGGGAGGCATGAAAGAAGCTGTAACCAGTGCTAGAAAGGATGGCTAAGTATGCATTGTTATCTGAGGAGCCTGAAGACGGAAAGAGCAAGAGGTCTGAGGCAGCCAGGTGACACAGTGGAGTCAGGAGGATCTGAGTTCAAACGTGAAGTCACTTAACCCCAACTACCTAAAAAAATAAAATAAAATAAAAGGGAGGAGCAAGAAATCTAAAGGGAAGTGTGTGAAGCTAAATGTGAGAATCCCAAAGCCCACAGTGGAAGGGTAGAATTAATTTCATTTTTTCTGTGTGTGATTAATTTCAATACTTGGCCAAGTCCACCACTTCCTGGCTCTTTTGTCAAAGTATTTGTAATGTATTAACATGAGGCTCCTGTCATTGCCCAAAGCCTTCAGCCTCTCATCTCTTACTCTTGAACCAGTCAGTCAATGAACATTTTTTAAAAAAAATTTAAGATCTCATTTTATTGGTTTTTTAAAAATCATTTATTTTTAGTTTTCAACATTCACTTTTATAAGATTTTGAGTTCTAATTTTCTTCCCTTCCTTCCCCTTCCCCAAGGTACGCAAGCAGTCTGATATAGGCTATACATGTATAAGCACATTAAACATATTTCCGCATTAGTTATATTGTAAAAGAAGAATCAGAACAAAAGGGAAAAAACATGAAAAAGAAAAAAACAAACAAAAAAAGAGATAATAGTATGCTTGGATCTGCATTCAGACTCCATAGTTCTTTCTCTAGATGTGGATAGCATTTTCCATCACGAGACTTTTGGAGATGTCTTAGATCCTTGCATTGCTGAGAAGGGCAAAGTCTATCAAAGTTGGTCATTGCACAATGTTGCTGTTACTATGTACAACGTTCTCCTGGTTGATGAACATGTGTTAAATGGCTATTATGTGCTAAGCACTGGGGATACAAAGAAAGGCAGTCCTTGTCTTCACAGAGCTCAGTCTACAACTATATACAAAAGAGATAGACGGGATAAACTCTGACGGCAGGTATTAGCATTAAGGGGGACTGGGAAAGGCTCCCTGCAGAAAGCGGGATTCTAGCTGAGACTTGAAGGAAGTCAGGAGGCAGAGATGAGGAAGGAGAATGTTCCAGCAGTGAAAATGTCACGATGTGGGAGGTGCAGTGTCTTGTTGGAAGAACGGCCAGGAGGCCAGAGTCCCTTGATCGCAGAGCACGTTAGTGGCATGTGAGGAGTAAGAAGACTGGAAGGGTGCTGGTAGCGGGGTCAGGGGGGCTTGGTCATGAAGGACTTTGAATACCAAACTGAAGATTTTATCTTTGATCCTGGGGGTGATAGGGTGCCACTGGAGTTTACTGAGTAGAGGGAATGACATGATTATGCTTGTACTTTAAGGAAGATCACAAGGACACATTTTGACTGTTTTCTCACAGGATTTTCTCATCCTTCCCCTTTCATTAGCTTTGCCTCAAAACAGCCATTGATTGATTTTGGAGGCCTTCTTGAGGCAATCATTAAATTTTAATTCAACTGAATTGAATTCATTGGAATTTCATTGAACAATAATAATGACAGTTAATGTTTACATAGAGCCTACTATGTACCAGATCTCATTTTACCTTCACAACAACCCTGGGAGGTGGTGCTAGTATTATCTCCATTTTACAGTTGAGGAAACTGAGGCAGACAGAAGATAAGTGAATTACCTTAGACAGCTAGTGTCTAAAGCCAAAATTGAACTCAGGTCTTCCCGATTCCAGGTCCAGCATTTCTTTATTTGCACATTTAGCTGCCTCAAGAAAGAAAAGTAATTCTATTCCCTCCTCATTCTCTGCAACAGAAGTGGCACTCCAGCTACCATTCTTTTCATGGTGGACTTTTTGTTGAAGGGGGCCATGATTCACCCGCATCCACTTGAAGACCTCCAGTGATGAGGAGCTCACTACCTTTCAAAGAATCCTAGGGCAGCTCTCACGGCTCTAAGAAGTTTTTCCTAACCTAACTGCCTACCCTTGCCTCTTGTTAACTTTCTCCTGCTACTCCTGTTCTGTCTTCTGGGAACAAGCAGAACAAGTGTGATCCCTCCTCTACAAAGCAGCCCTTTAAATACCTGGAGCCAGCACCTGGGTCCCCCCCCCCCCAGCCTTCTCCAGGCTGACTGCATCCCATTCCTTCAAGCTGTCCTCACGTGGCTGGATTCCAAGCCCTTCAGCAGGCCCTTACCAAATGGTTGTTGAATTTGAATCCAGCTCCAAAGGGGTGGACATGGTGCTCTTGTGACTGTCCCCTACCAAAGGAGTGTCTCTCCACCGCCTCCTGACAGCTTGGGCTTGAGCGGCTGGGTGTTTTCACCTGAGCCTGGCAGGTCACCTGAGGAGGTCTCTGGACTCAAGTGCCCACTAACACTAGACCAAATGAACTCTTGGGATAAAGTAGAAGGGGACCATCTCTCAGAGGCCACGAGCAACCCCCCATACAGGGCAGGCCTTGGCCTCTGACACTTGCCGAATCTGGAGCAGCCAGGTCCATGCTGGGCACTTGCCCCATGATGCTGCTGTCCAGGAGACCTGCTGGAGCCCAGCCTCAGGCTTAGCTGACGGGTAGCAGGCACTGAGCCCAAATGAGCTTGGGGACTGGGATGCTGTAGAGAGAAGGAAACATCCTGAACTGGTTTCCTCAGTGGTTGGGGTGGGTGTTTGGAAGCCTTGACTCCCACAGGTCCTGACTGCCTCCAAGGCACAGAGAGGTCACTGTCCATGGAGGATTGTTCTCGGCCAGGCTGCTTCACAATGGGGGGTTGTTCCCAGCTGCTGGGGTTAGTGGGGGTGGCAGGCAAAGGGCCTGGCTGGAGCTGGTGCGGAGTATTTCAGAGGCGGGGTGGTGGCCTCATATGTGACCAAGACCTGGCATCCTCCCTGTCAGGCTGAGGGATGAGGGCGGTGAGCCAGCTGAGTAAAGGCAGCATCTACGGCTTGAGACAGGAGGAGGAAGCTGGAACAAAGGTCAATCCTGGGAAAGCTAGAAAGGTTGGGTAATGGGAGCGGTGCAGGCCAGAGGTAGGTGGGTGAAAGGCAGACATCTTGTCAAAGCTCAGGCCTAAGGAAGACACATAACCTGCAACCATGAGCTTCTTACCTGAAGGCCCAAATATGCTAGGCTGGGCAAACCTAATCTCTGCCCTGGGACTGCTCTGTTCCTATTCTCTTGCCCCCTCCGGGAAAGGAAAAAAGGGCCCTCACCTGCTACAAAACATCCCCTTGAAGGGCCAGGGGCCATGGCACCTCCCTGGTTCCTATTCATACAGTGTTTCCTCTAAAGGCAGCACAGCCCCAGGGAGTACCCAGGGAGCTGGACGCAAGCTTTTCGTTAGCAGATGCCTTTCCAAGTGGGTGTTTTCTTGAAGATAGCGGATTGCATGTCCAGCAGCACATGCCCTCAGAGTCCACCTAACCTAGGCCATCTCATAAGGAGTTTGCCACCCTGAGGCTGGTTTCCAGGTGCCAGGATCCTTACTTTACAGAAGAGCAAACCAAGCCTAGGAGAGGTGAAGGGCCTTGCCCAGGGCCTCATGGTAGCATCGCAGGTGAACTCTGAACCCAGGTGCTCCCGAATACTGGAGGTTCCCCAATCCTGATAGGAGAGCTCAGAGGTGGTTGGTGCATGGACACGTGGCCCCTGAATGTCTGACATTTAGCAGCATTCCTGGGAGTCCTGGAGGGGCCAGGAGTGCTTGGGGTCCCCAGGCCTCATGCATATTTCTCCAGTCTCAACAACGAAACGTGGGTTGGATGGGCAAGGCTCCAAGGCTGCCAGCCATTGAGAAATGCTTCTCTAGTCAAGTAGGAGAGAGGTCAGGCAGTGGCTAAACTGTTTGGAATGGGTGGCTGAGTATTTGAGGTGTTGGAGTCTCACAAATTCCACCACTGGAGAGGGGCACAGGAGCTTGGCTGGGCCAAGAGGTCACTCAGGCCATGGTTACCCCAGAGGCCTGCTGACAGGCCCATGCCAAGGCAGAAGAGGCAGAGGGCAGGAGAAAGCTGCAGGCCTCTCCAAAGAAAGCTGAGCGAGTACCATTGACAGAATCCAAGGGGGAAAACCTACCAGTGGCCCTGTGGCCTGTCCCCAGGCTGCAAGGTTCTGTACTAGACAGAGCTTAGCACCTGGAATCAAGGCCAGCATTCTAAACTAGCCTCAGACCCTTATTAGCTTTGTGACCCTGGGAAGGTCACTTTACCAATGTATTGGCAATTGGCAATGTCTGCCAATGTCATCTGAAAAACAGGGATAACACATACCTCCCAGGTCTGTGAAGATCAAGTGAAATAATGTTTGTAAAGAACTCTGCATACCAGAAAGTGCTATGGAAATGTTAGCTATTATAATTATTATTATCCGAAGCTCTGTTGAGATCTATGGAGACCAGGCTGCTCACAGTAAAACACTGACTCACGAATCACTTTAAAGCCTTTTTTATTGAGGATACATGAGGGATCCCTAAGAAATTCCTGTGGTATCAGCAACCAGATGCCTGCCCAAAGGGGCTGCCAAAGGAGGCGGAGGGAAGACCTGGAGAGCAGACAGTTGGAACTGTGGCCTCCCCCTGGAGCAGGCCTAGCATGGTGTGCAGGATGCCAGGCAGCTGGCGTAGCACACTCCTGGGCCCTCCTGCTGTCACTGCCCAAGAGTAGGCAGAGGTGGGGGGAGAACCTACAGCCCTCTCCCTCCCTGGGCACAGTTCTCATGGCAAAGGTGGAGCTGTTTGCCAAAGGCCCCAAGGCTGTCCCCTCCCTGGATGCTTGCTCAGGAAGCCCCTTTCCCAGAAAGCAGGAAAGCAAGCTTTTCTCTATTTAATGATGGGACAGCGCTGTTCTTCACACTGGCCTGTTCCATCAGCTCCCAGACTAAGATTGGGACCCACCCTCCCAACTTCCCTTAGCAGCTAAAATAACTGACTCTGTCCAAGGAGGCCTTCACAGGGTTCCAGGGCCTTAAGGGAAGGGAAGTGCTCCAAAGACCAGTGACTGGACAGGCCTTGAGGTTCACCGAGCCCAGCTTGTAGGGCCAAGGCTGCCTTCTAGGCAGAACAGGCTACCCAGATGCTCCCCAGAGCCACAGTGAGGCCTGAGCAGTCAGGAGTCCTGGGGGACCTGAAAGAGAGAGAAGGCCCAGGAAAGAGGTCTGATCTCTGAGATGGGGTGTGCCGGTGAGGTGCTCTGCTCACGGACCTCTGTCACTTCAAAAGCAGACCCAGGCGGAGGAGAGGGCGGTCCAAGCTGCTAAGGAGGCAGAGGAGTAGTGTCTGCGGTCGGTGGGCAGCTTACCGCTGGTAAGGGTGCATTGAAGCTGACTTGATGTTAGTTTTGATGCCACTTGGCATCTTACCTAAAGAGAGAAGTAGCAGTATGGAGTTGAGCAGGCCCCTGTCAGGCTCTGCCTAGAGAAGACTCTTTCTACCCCCATGGTTACCTCCAAGCTCTTCTGACCCTTGTCCCTGGGCTGGGGTGCAGGTGTTTCCCTTTCGTTACATGTCACACAGTGCCAGGACCACCAAGAATCCAGGTGCCAGGCCTTAAGATAAGCTCAGCATAGAGAAGCAGGGAGGGTGGAAGATTTGTGCATTCACACACACAGGGACACATACGTACCCTCAGACAGGTCCAGAAAGGTCTGCTAGGTCATCTTTCCTGACAGAAATTGTATCAGGCTTGTCAAGGGAAGGGCTGGCCCTGGCTGCCGGCCACAACCTGCAGCAGTGGGGCTCACTCACAGCCAATCACAGAGGCTTGTGACCCAGCCACCAGGAGGAGGGTCACAAGTAAACTATGAAATGAGCAGACTCTAGGTACTCCTGGGGCACGCTCTGGCCTCAAAGGAGCTCCAACACCCTTAACGCGTGGTTCCAATCTCCTATGGCCCTGGAGGTGACCCTCCTGAATCCGCCCAGCCACACATCATCAGGTTGGATTAGTGAACTCTTGAGATGAAGTGAAATGAGTGAAGAGGAAAGGGAGGAAGGGAAAACAGTGGAGAACGACAAGACATACCCTTCTCTGCTGCCAGAAAAAAATGCCATAGCTGGTGCCATGCCATCATGGGGCAGAGAGAAAACATGCTTTATCTCCTGGGCTGGATAACCTTGCCCAGGGGTGTGCCTTACACAAAATGCCTGCAGGAAAGAAGAGGGTGGTGGACTATGGAGGTGACCTAAAAATGCAGGGACCACTCCACTCAGTCCATAGCAGTCTGTCATAGGGAAGGAGGGGGCCCCATTGGGCACATGCTCGGTCTGAGATGACCAGGTTCCAGAAGGGTCAGACAAGGGGCTGGCACTGTTGCTTGGAGGAGATGGGAGCCTGCCAGCAGGAAGGGTCGTTGCGGTAAATGTATTTGAAACAGGGAGTCTGCACCATCTATAACCAAAAAAACCATTCCATAGCAACCAAGTGGTCAAAGGACATGGGCATCAGTGATCAAAGGAAGAAATTCAGCAGGCAACAGCCAGAGAGAGGATGGCTCTATTACTTGCCCACTAGACCTGCAAATATGACCTGAATGGTAAACGTGGGAGGGGCTGGAGGTAGGCGGGCAGACGATGGTACCAAGGAGAACACAAGAATGTGGCACAGCTCCGCAAGAACGGGGTCAGGAACGCCCAAACCCTGGCAGCTGAGGTGCGAGGGAAGAGAATGTGAGAAAAGGGGTTCTTTCAAGTCATACGAGCGCATGCTGGGGGAGCTGTGAAGTCCACCCAGGCTGGATTCAGTGATCCTCCTTCCAAGCCCATACCTAAGGACACCAAAGACCGTGGGGAAGAAGCCAATGCACACAAACATTCACAGTAGCTGTTTGTGGCAGCAAAGAGCTAGAAACAAGGGGGTGCCCACTGACTGAGAATGGTATAGGAATGTAATAGAATATAACTGTGCCATAAGATAGGATAAAGAGATGGATCCAAGAGGAAACTCTGAGCACCTCCAGTATTCTTATACTTTATCATCTACGATCCAGCTAGAATGGCCTCCTGGCTGGTTCTCAGATATAATACTCCACCTCCATCTCCAGGCCTTTGCCCTGGCTGTGCTCCATGCCTGGAATGCTCTTCCTTCTCATCTCCACCTCCAGGCCTCCTTCTCCTTCAAGACTCAGATCACTCTCAACTTTAATAAGAGGCTGTTCCTAGTCCCCTAGCTGCTAGTGTCCTCCCTCAAATGACCTTCATTCCATTTTCCCTGGGTATAGCTGGTATGTACACAGTCATTTCTATGTTATCTCCTCCATCAGACCATGAGCTTCTCGAGGGCAGGGATTGTGTTTTTGCCTTTCTCTGTACCTCCAGAGCTTAGCACAGTGCCTGGCACACTTAAATGCATGTTGACTGACTGTTGGAACTGACACAGAGTGAAGCGAGCAGAACTGGGAGAACGATGTACAACATTTCAAAGAAAAAATACTTTGAAAGACTGAAAAACTCTGATCGATGCAAATGACCAGCCACACTTCCAGAGGACTGCTGAGGAAGCCTGCTGCCCCCCTACTGACTCAAGAGAAGGACACAATGGTTTTCAGACAACAGCCAGTGGCTGGATTTGCTCTGCTTGACTCAGTCTGTTACAAGGGGAGGAAGCTTTTGGGGGTGGATTTGGGGTAGTAATAATGATGCCCCCCTGAAAAAGAAGAAAAGGGCGTCAATGAACTATTTAAAAACGAACAGATGAGAACAGATAATGAGGGCAGCTTGGAACAAAATGGCGAATTTGTTACATACTTAAAAAAACACAAGCCAGACATAACAGATCCTCAATTTCATAGACAATACCTTTTCTGTTCTTCATACATGGAAATGTCCATGTCCTCTGGAGTTTGTCAAATTCATAATAACAAAAAATCAAAATTAAAATCCTGAAAAAAGTTGGAGGGAGACGGAACGTCTAAGAAGGGATCGGACTGCTACTTTAGGTGGGCAGGACAAGGCTAACAAAACAAAATGACTAAACAGGAAACTAAGGCCCAAAAGAAGGAGACAGAAGGAGGGTCCTGAGTGGCCTTGGTTGAATTCAAGTCACCAAGCTTACCTGAACCACATTGCTGGGTCCTAACAAACCAGGAAGATGTGACTGCTGAGTGACTGGCAGTGACACCTGAAAGACTGGAGAGTGATACTGAAGGAATGGGAAAAAGGCAAATGTCCTGATGTTCAAAAAAGAGAACAGAGCAGTGAGGCCAGTGAGCTGCATAGATTCCTGGGAAAATTCCAGAAGGGTGCATTTAAGTAGACAGTGAGCATCTAAACAAGGATTTGGGGATTAGAAGAGCCAGGCTGGGGAAATTGAGAACAGGTTGTGCCAGATGAACCTCATTTCCTTCTTACAGAGGATTATTTAAGTGGTAGAGCAGGGAAGGCTGTAGACATAGTTACCCAGATTTTGGCAACGCGTTTGACTAAGTGTCTCATTACCCTAGAGAAAACAGGTGAGATGTGGCCTAGACCACAACAGGATCCTCAATTTAGAGTTGGGAGGAACCTGACAGTGCAATGGGCTGGTCTGCTTTGCCCAGGGACCTGAAGGATCACAGCACCTTTCTGTATGACTTGCAGTGGAACCCTGCTCTATGCACCGTCTCCCCAGGAGAGCGTGAACTCCCAGACAGCTGAGATGTTCCTTCCCTCAGTGTCTCCCTGGCCCTTGGCAGAGGGTGCTACTCATGGTTAGCTGAGGACACGGAGGCCCAGCGAGGGGATGGTGCCCTACCCAGGGTCACACGGCTAGGAAGATCTGGGAGGGGGTCAGTGCTCCGGTCCTCCTGGCTCCTTGGGGCCTCCCACTGATCTAATACCAGACTGATTCAGAACGAGCGGAAGGGATGCAGGTCGGCCCAGCAGGTCTCCAGTGGCGTGCCTGGGGATCTGGGCTCTGTCATGGGCTGTTTCCTTGTTTGATCAATGATTCACATGAAGGCAGCAAAACATTATGACCTGAGAGCTACACTTGACAGTCATCAAAGACACAGGCTCAAAGTTCTACCTCCAACTACAATTATATTTTAAAAAAAAAAGCTACAATTGTCCAGAATTTTTGTTCCCATTGGTGGTTCCTGTGGGGAGAGGTCCTGACCCCTGACCCCAGAGGTCTCCTTGCCTCCAGCCAGAAAGAATCACATTTTGGGTGTCCTGGATGGCTGGACGGCGTACTGAGGTTCTTCCCCAGGACAGAATACCCAGGCGGGATGAGAAGGAACGCTAATGGGGATGATACGCTTTCCAGACAACAGAATTTCAGAGCTGGAAGATCCATCTAGTCTGAGCCCACACCCAGAAGGAATCCCCCACTGTAACATCTCCCCTAAAGGGGCTGTGTGGTCTGCGCGAGAAGGGCTCCAAGAATGGAGAGCTGCCCCACCCCCAGTCACTGTGGGAGTTTTCATTATAAATCTGCAAGATTTTCCTGACATCAAAACCAAATCTCTCCCACTGCTCCTGGTCCTGCCCCCTAGGATCAAAGACAAGAAATCTAACCTGTCCTTCACAAGATAACCTTTCAGACACTTCCCCCATCCCGCTCTCCTGTACCATGACTGGAGGCCCCTCCCACCCTGGCTACCCTCCTCTGGAGGGGCTTAGACTTCCTGATACATCCTTCCTAAAATAAACTGCCCACACAAATTCAATGTTGATGAAGCTGTGAATTGGTCCAGCCATTTCTGAAAATAATTTGGAATTACTTGAGAAAGAACATCTAGAGCAGCAGCTCCCACTCGGGCAGGGAGGCACTTCCCCTATATCTGTAACCTCTTCAGATGCTTCCAGCAACTCGGGATCTTACAGGGGACTGGCCCATGGTCCCATGGCTTCTAAGGCAAGCTGTGACCCCAAGCTTTCCAGACTCCGAGTCCAAGCCTCACTCCACAACACTCATGAGAAAAGGCCCCAACCTGCTCATCCCTTCTGTCCCAAATACATTCCTACTGAGGACAAGGACAGAAAAAGGTCCCCTGAATAGCCCCGTGTCCACCTCCAGGCTCTCGGCAACAGGACACAGGCGCCCGTCAGCTCTGGAGCCCTGAGTAAGCCCTGGTGTATGACCGTATCAAATTCTTGTTCCGTAAGAACGAGAAAATATAAGAGAATCAGAGAACGTTAAAGACCCGGGGGGCCGACGCTGAACCAGGACCAGGTGGCAGAGCCATGGACAGAGATGACAAGAGAAAGCTGTGCTCTCAGCTTGACAGCAATGACCGCTCTCAGGCCCAGAGGGCAGATGATAAGGCACACTGTCCTTCTTCTTCCTTGTGACGTGGGGGACTCTGGCTACAGAATATGACACAAGCCATCCTACGGTCTTGGGTGATCTTGTCTTTGTTAGAAGGGAGGACTCAGTGGTGAGGCAGCATGCTGGGAGATGAATGAGGAAGAGAACAGCCAAAGCATCAACAACAAATAAAATGAGCTCAAGCTGTCCTCCTTGCCTTTTGGGCCTTCCCCTTCCTAAGCTGGGACCCAGACTGAGCACAGCGCTCCCAACCTTGAGCCCTGGATGCGAAAACTCAGCTTTCCCAGCAGCCTCCAAACAGCCTGGGCTCCTCTGGGAAAGGCCTTCTGTAGGCACTGCACTTGCCGGCCTCCGTGCGTTTGCTCGCTGCTCCCCTTACCTGGCTGGCCAGCTTGGGCCATCTGTACTCCACTGAGCAGAGGGCTCTGTTGCTGACTGGACGTGCCTGTCATCTGAACTTGCTGCACGCTCGATGCTCCAGCCAGGAGGGCCCCTGCTCCAGGCTGGCCTGGCTGGCCGGGGCCACTGGTGCCAGGAGGTCTCCAGTTGGACAGACCCTTACCAAAGGCAACTGCAGCCACCAGGGCATTGGTGTCTGTGGGGTTGAAGGTCTGCTTGTTCTGACGGAGACCTAGAAAGGAAGGCCGGGGCACTGAGCGGTGGGCCTCAGCAGGACCTGAGGAGGTTTGTGACCACTCCAGTACCCTAAGACACCCTGCAGCTCAGGCATGGGAGCAGCAGGCTCCTGTGGTTGCCTCAGACCAACACAAATGGGCTCCCGCGAAAGTCATTCGACAAACCTCCTCCCCTGTGGCTTTGCCATCAATCCACGGCCATTCTCCACATCTGCTTTCCTCCGTCCCTGTCTTTTCCTCTCCAGGATTTGCCGTCATGACCCCACTGTGCCCCCTATCCCTCCACTTTCCATGTTTATACCCCCTTCCCGATCTCTCCTCCCTGTGATGGCCACTTCCCATCTTGCTGGACATGTTCACCTCCACTTTCTGTGCCTACGCCCCCTCCCCTCCTTCCCGATCTCTCCTCCCCTGTGATGACCGGTTGCCACCCTGCTGGACACGCTCACCTCCACTTTCTGATTCTCGCTCCTCTTTGCTGATTTTCTCCAGCAGGTTCGAGCACATTTTATTCAAGGTCTGAATTTGCTTCTGTAAAACATCCAGGCACTGAGGTGAGCAGGGTCAGCCCTGAAGAGCAGACAGCACCCGTGCCTCCCGTGGGCCCCCAGGGCGGCACCCTGGTCTCCATTACCTGGGCAGCATCAGTGCCGACTCGAGCCGCATCTGTGGTCAGCTGCTTTTCCTGCTCCTCGACCTCTGGGTCTGGTTTGGTTCTCAGGTGGTCAGGGACCACTTCATGACTGAAGACAGGAACCCGGCCCTCTGTCTGCCGCTATCATAAGGACAAAAGGCATGCTGCATCACCAGAAGAAAGCGCCTTGGCCTATGGTCCATCTGTGCCCCAGAGCAAAGGGCCCCAGTGGCTGGCAGCAGGCAGAGGGTGAGCCTGGACAGAAGCGGGAGGGGATGTGTGCTCAGGGTGAGAGCGGCCCCGCTGCGGCCTCCCACCCGCCTCTCACCGTGAGCTCCTCGTCTCGGTCTGGGGATAGCACCAGAGGAATGATGACCTGGTTCCGGAGCAATGGGGTCTTCTCATGCTTGAGGACCTTGTTCAGGGTGTTCAGCTGTCCGGAAAGCAGAGCGAAGCTGTCCAGGACTGAAGGCCTAGTTGAGGTGGAGGAGATGGGAGTGAGGCCTGGCTGAAAATGTGGCTGGCCTCCAACCCGTAGGACCCCTCAGGGAAGCAGCAGACAGAAATGCAGATGGAGCCTTAGGATTCAGAGCCACAAGGACCCTTTACATGCAGGCCCACCCAGAACAGATGCACAATCTGGGACTGAGGCAGGGGTTTCCCAACATAGCTGTAGGAAAAGACAAGGCCCTTAAAGAAGGTAGCAGGGCCTGGCCCACAGCCAGGCTATACTAGGCCTCCTCAGGAGAGAAGCCCTATGGGTAGAAGACCTCTCTAGGCCAGGCCATCTCCAAAAGACCTCCTTCAATGTCTGGGCTAGCCTCTGCTTGCCAATGGAAACAGTGGGACTTCCCATGGACCGGTTTTCCCACAGCATCCAAAGTACGGAAGGCTCGGGAGAGGAGAACAGACGGCAAAGGAACAAGACGCATCCTCCTCGCCGTCTTGGTGACTCCCTTACCCTCCAATGCCGGCAGATTGACAGCTTCTGAGGACGTGGGGAGTTTGTGCTGCCCGGCCTCCCCCACCCCTTGTCTCAACCCTTCTGCAGCCCTGACCTGCACTAGATGGACAAGGAGCTCCAGCCCCACCGCAGCCCCTTCAGCAGCCCCGGCCCAGGAGCTGGAGGGAGAAGGAGAGTCACTCACTTCCCTTACAGGCCTCAGGGCCCAGAAGCTGGGAGGCTAAATTATGCGGCTGAGGAGGCTTCCAGCCTATGCTCAGCAGCGGCATGCCAGTCTCCTGCTGGGCGTCAGGCCCACTCCACCCGCCCGCCCTTCTGCCCTTACCAGGTAAGCCGGTCGTACTCGTTCTCCAGCTTGCAAATAAAACTTCCCAAGGAACTTTTCAGATCCGCCACTTGATTCAGCAGCGCATCTACTGACGTCTCCAGCTGCTTCTCTTCCCTCTGCACAGACAGGGGCCAGCTGGTCTGTCCGAGGTGGTCGGGGCCCAGGGTGTCAGACACAGCTCAGGACTTAGAGCCCACGGGGCCCCTGGCATTTGACAAGATGACTGAGACGCCCCAGGGAGGGGAGAGGAGGAGGGGCTGGCTGGCAGGGGCACAGTTCTCATCCCCATTGCACCAGGCTGCCTTTTCCTTCCAAGTCCTATTGAGGTCCTAATGGGCAAATCCTAGGGCAGAGCCCAGGGCCCTTGGCCCAGAGAGGACCTGCTGTAGAAAAGCCAGGAGGGAAGTGAAGGGGTGTCTGCCCCCCTCCCCCAAGGTTTCTGTGAGCCACCCTGGCTGCCCTAACTTGTACATGCTGCCTCTGGGCCATGCAGTAGGGCTTTTGGCACAAGAGGGTCCCCTGAGGGCCCTCAGGCAGGAACAAGTCTATGGCCAGAGGCTGTGTGGGCACCACACCCTGAGTCTCTGGTGACCAAGGGGAACTCAGGTGCTCTGACACAGAGACGGGTGAAGGCGGCCCATCCTCTACAGGGCAGGATGGTGGGATCACCCAGAGGTGTGGGTTAGGGGCCACCCTGGTGACTGGAAAGCTATACACTTCAGCCTGCTCCCCCGCCTGCATTCCTCCTGCCCCATTAGCTTATCAGAAGCACCTCATTCTTTCCAAGGCTTGACTCACGCATCCTTATCTCCCCTGTGGCATCTGCACCTACAAACTGTCTCTAGGCCCTGACCATGGGGGCTCCTCCCCCAACGGCTCCTGAGGCAGCCCATCAGGCCAGCCTGGATGCTCCTGCTCAATGACACAACCCAGGGACAACCTGCCCCCACTCTGGCCCCCACCCCCATTGCCTATCAGTTCCTGACCACTCCTTGATACCTCAATGTCCCTAACAATGAGAGTCTCCATCCCCTCCCACACCCAGGTTTGCTTTCTCTGTTTCTGCTTGTTTGTAGGTCACCTCTTTCTTTCTGTGCTTATAAACACACACACACACACGCAGCTGGGCCCCCTTCCCAGGCTCCCCACCTCAGAGGATCTTCATTCCTGCCATCCCCCACCTGCTTCTTGCTATTTCCACCTTCACGACGCCCTCACCCCCTCCTCTCCTCTTACTTGGGTCCTTATCACCTCCTGCCCGCACCACTGCAGCCTGCTGGGGAGCTCCTGCCGGCCCCTGTCAGCCCTGCTGCCAGCCCAGCCATCGTCACTGGCCCCTCAGGACCAGGGGACCCTCCCCCATCAGACTGGGAGCTCCTGGAGAGCAGGGACGTCTAGCCTGGTGCGTCCACAGGCCTTTGCACGCAGAAAACATTTAATAAATGCTCCACTCATTCATTCCATTTCTCTTCTGCTTAGCTTTCCATGGAACCCTCGTAAGCAGTTCTCACCCCCACTGCCTCAATGACCAAAGAGAAAATTCTCCGGACATATCTGCTGACCCGGTGCCTGACCTCAAGGGGGGCCCTTTGTGCTCGTCTGTCTTCCCCACAATGGTCTACACCTATTGCCATCACTCGGTGGGGGCCTCCCTCCACCCCCCCCCCCAAGATGACCCCGGGTATAGACACTCCTGGGGCTGGCGCTTAAAGCCCTTCCTGGCTGGGCTCCAACCTACTTTTCGAGGCTCATTATGGGTGATTTTACCCAGAGGCAGACGGTCCAGCCAGGCCAGCCTCAACAACGCATCTCCTGCCTCCACGCCTTTGCTTTGGGGGATCCTCCTGCCAGGAATGCCCTTCCCGCTGCAGGCTTCGGTAAACTCTTCTCCCCTCCCCCCCACTTACCCCAGAACACCCCCCCACCCCCACCCCGGTGCCCCCTCCTTCTCCACTTCCCGGGGCAAAGGCAGGCAGCGGTGAGACTCGCTGTCTTGTGGTGGGCCCTGGTTCACCGAGTGACCCTTCCTGGGCCTCAGTTTCTTTATACGCAAATTGGGGGCACGGTAGGGAATGTCGGGGCCCAAACCAGGGCGGCGGCTCCGCCCATATCGCAGGCGACTCTCATGTGTACGCGCTACTACGCCCCGGAGGTTCCCCCCAGTTCCGCGAGTTTCTGGGCCTGGCCTTCAAGGCCTCCTCCGCAGAGCTTCTTCCCTGCATCCTCGCTCCTGAGGCCGCCTCGCTCCCCCCACGACCCCCAGCCCAGCCCTTACCTGCATCTTGTAAGCAGTAGGAATTTCGCGTCCCCAGGGTGCCGCCCCCTAGCTTCCGCTTCCGGAAGCAACGTCTTCCAACCCCGCGACTTCGCAGGGAGCTTCCGGCGCTACGGCCGAGCGCTTCCGGGTCACGGCGGGTCAGAGGTCACCCCGGGATCTGACAGCCATGGCAGCGGAGCCGGCCGAGGTAAGGACGGGGTGGGTGGTCCGGGGAGGGGGCCTGGAATGCCGAGCTCAGGGAGCGGGGTGCGGGGCTCGGCCCAAGCCTGGGCTCGGCGCTCCAGGCCCCGGGGTCCTCGCTCGGGGAGCTGGACCCCGCGCTGCCGCCTTCGTCCGTCCGGCAGTCAGTCCGCAAACCTTGCCCTCCCCTGCCACGCCGTGAGACCCCCGGGGCGGCGGGTCTCTGAGCGCTGAGCTCCCTGTGCAGGTGGAGGAGGCCGCGCAGGTCTTCCTGCTCATGCGCAAAGGCCACCGCATCTCCCGCAACGTGCGCCTGGCCTGGTTCCTGAACCACCTCCGCCAGCCGGTCCGGGCGGCTTCCCCGGAGGAGCTGGTGAGTGCGGGCGGGGGGCGGGGCGGGGGGCCCGGGGCAGCTCCCCCCGCGGCGCCCTGACCCCCCCGCCCCGCCCCCCCCCCCCGCAGCTGCGCTTCGAGCCCGAGCTGGCCGTGCTCAGCGTCCTGCCGCCGGGCTGGCAGCCGGACGAGCCGCTGGGGCCGCCGGGCCGGGCCCTGCTGCTGGTGCCGTCCACGCGCGTCACCTTCCTGGCGTGGCGCTACCGCTTCGTCATCGAGCTGGACCTGAGCCCGTCCACGGGCATCGTGGTGAGGCGCCCCGGGCCCCGCCAGCCCCCCTTCCCCGCTCTCCGGGGAGGGGTACGCTGACATCCCACCTCCCCATGGGGTCTGCCAGCCCCCCTTCCCTGCCCTCCCGGAGGGGGTGGCGCTGACAACCCCTCTGCCCTCCCTCCCCATGGGGTCTGGCCAGCCCTTTTCTCTGATCTCTCCCCTACCCCCCAGGATGACTCCACAGGAGAGATTCTCTTTGATGAGGTGTTCAGGGCCCTTTCCCGATGCCTGGAGGGGCTGCTTCGGCCTTTCCGAGTCCCGGGCTCCTCCATCACCTTCCAGCCAGAGATCTATGTGACCATCCAGGCCTATTCTTCCATCATTGGCCTGCAGTCCCACCAGGTAGGGAAGGGCAGCCACATTACACTCCCCCTCAGCCTGACCATTAGTGCACAAGGCTCTTTTGTCAGCCCCGAAAGTCTGAGGTGGGATTTAAACTTAGAGTTTCCTGACTCCAGAGTCCATCATGTATCTAGGCATAGGGGTCGTAGTGCTGTCTTCACTATTGCCCCCCGCCCCCAGTCAAGCCCAGGGGACTGATGAGCTTGGAGTCAGGAGACTCTGAGTTCAAATCCCACCTCAGACACTTCTTAGCCCTGTGACCCTGGCAAGTAACTCACCCTCTCAGTCTCCTCGGCCTCACTGTTAGAAAGACCTTGGATAATAATGCCAGCTTCACAAGGTGGTTTTGAGGATCAAACGAGATAATATGTTTAAAGCGCCTTTAAGCACCATGTTCTAAATTCTTTGTTTTATTTATTTATTTTTAAAGTTTAAAAGCATTCTCAATCTGCATCAGGACTCCGTGAGTCCATAAGTTCTCTTGGGGTAGATACCATTTTTCATCATGAGTCGATCAGAATGGTCTTGGATTGTTCTGTTGTTGAGGATAGCTAAATCATGCGAAGTCGGTCATCCTAGGATATGGCTGTTACTGTGTGCAATGTTCTGGTTTTGTTCATTCCACCTTGCATCCGTTCATGTAAGTCTGTCTAGGTTTTTTCTGAAAGTATGCTGCCCATCATTTCTTATAGCACCCTAGTATTCCATCACGATCACATACCACAAACTGTTTAGTCATTCCTCAGTTGATGGATATCTTCTCAATTTCTAATTCTTTCCCACTACAAAATGAGTTGTTATAAATACTTTTGTAAATATAGGTCCTTTTTCTTTTAAAAAAATCTATTTGGGATACAGACCTAATAGTGATATTGCTGGGTCTGAATTCTATGTTCTAAAAACTAGCTATTGTGACATCTTGCTTTTGGCCTGGGCTTGTATATGTTATGGTCCACTGACTATAGCCAGAGGCCCTGGCATTCCCCTGCCCACGTGACCCCCTTCTTCGCACCCACTCTGTTCTGGCAAGCCCACTGTCCTTACCGCATGGTGGGACCCCATGCCCTGACTCATCCAGAATCAGGCACTCTGAAGCATCTGATCCAACCAAATCCGAACAAGACTTCCCTCAGCCTCCCAGATAAGTTACCATCCAGTGAAGGGGTGAGCACCTCCCCCCCCAGCAGGGGATCCAGCCAAGGGAGTCAGGAAAAGCTCCCTAAAAGAGATGGGATTTGAGCTGAGTCTTGAAGACAGGCAGGGTTCCAGAAGGCCCAGGTCAGAAATGAGAGCATGCTTCGGATGAGTCACAGCCTGTACAGAGGCATGGAGGTGGGACACAGAAGGTGAGTGGTTGTGTGTGGGTAACAGCAAGGAGGCCAGATGGGAAGTGATGTGAAATCAGTCCTGAAGCTGGGCTGTGAAGGGCTCTAAATGGCAAACGGGAGTTTGAGTTTTGTCATGAGGATCAGGAAGCTCCGGCAGGGGAGGTTAAGAGTGACTACTGAGGAGGATACCTTTGGCTGCAGTGACAGAAGTGGATGGAAACAGGCAAGGCTGGCGATGGAGCCCAAAGAGGAGGCTGCTGGGACGGGAGGTTTGCTCAGCTGGCTCTTGCAGTGCCTGTGACAAGGGGCCAGCGAGGGTGATGGCTGTGTGAGGGGAGACAAGGGGAACGGATGTGGGCAATGTGAAGGGTGAATTGACACAACCTGGCTGGCTTGGGGGAGTTGGCGAGGATGGCTGAGGACGTGAACCTGATCATCTGGGGAGAGGCTGGTGACCTGGGCAGGTCAGGAAGGATGGCTGGCAGCACAGATTGTGCTCAAGAGGCCTGCAGAAGGTCCAGACAGGGGTCTGGTGCTGGCGCTCCAAAGAGATGGAACCTGGGGGGTCATCAGTGTAGAAACAGTGAAATCGAGGGGCCTAGTGAGGCCAAGAAGGGCAGTGTAGGGAGCGAAGAGAAGAAGAGGATGCCTTGGGTCAAGCCGTGCTTTCCAGGTGAAGCAGAGCCTGAGAAGATGTGGTCAGACCCTCAACAAAGAGCCCTGAGAGCAGTGCCAGGACCCTGGGGAGGCAGAGGACTCAGCCAGTGTGTGAGGTGGCCAGGAACTGGGATTTGGCAGTTAGGAGATCAGCATGGCCCTTGGAAAGCCACATCATCTGAGGAGTGTGGATGAGAGCCAAGTGTTAGGAAGTTCTTCTTGACATCAAGCTAAATTCTGCTTCCTGCAAGTTTTGCTTCTCTCTTTGCTCTTGGGGGCTAACCAGAGCCAGTCTCCACTCTCCTGTGCCCACCCCCCTCTTCCCACCCCAGTGGCTTCAGGCTAAATGTGGCCCCTGGCTCCTTCCTGGGCCGAGGAGAGCATGTCTGCAGTCCAGTCCCTGCCTCGGTCCTGCTCTTCCTGCCACGGCCTTTCTCAGATACAGTGCCAGTCCTGAGTGCTGGCTGTGGCCACCTATCCTCTTAACTCAGACCAGCTTTGAGTTCGCTTTGGGTGCTTCTGTGGCAGACTGCTGACGGCCCACCAGGACCCCCCATGCTGTTCTGCTGCTTCTTTCTTCTCTTCTGCGATTGTGTTTTGAAAAGATAAGTAAGATTCTGGCCATGCTGATGCTGTGTGTGCCCCATTATTTGAGGGATCACTATCCTGCCTGTGGATGAGGGAGCAACTCTCACTGTTTGGCCTTTAAGGACAGAGCCAGGAACTTGGTGTTGTACAGACTCCCTCCCTGTGATTACTGTCCCACAGTGCACAAGGGTGAGCTCCCTGTCCTTGGAGGGCTGCAAGCAGAGGCGGGATGGCTGCTGGTCTGGGGCCATCGGGGCTGCTCTGGCTTTGTTGGTATCCTTTGTCCCATCCTCCTGTCTTTGCTGTGTCGTGCTGAACTTGTTTGGGGAAGCAGCTGCCTGTGGCCATGGAGCTGCAGCGAGCTCTTCGCGCTCTCCTCTGTTCATCCACATTGCGTTTTTTCTCTTTGTGTCTTGGAATTTCGTTCCTGAGATTCTCATCCCTCAGACTGGCTTTCTCTGTGGAATTTTCTCTTTGAAAGGGGTTCCCCTAAAATCTAGGGAGACGTCTGACTATTCCCGGGTGTCCATCCCTTCCTTTTCTTGCACAGATCCGAGTGGCCATTTGCTACAACTGCTTGTCATTCTGGATCTAGCTGGGAAGGACCTCAGAACTGAGGCCCGGATTGGGGCAGTGACTTGCCCCAGGTCACACAGGTGCATTTGTATTCAGGTCCTCTGACCCCAAACCCAGCTGTCAGGTGCGAATCAGACCCAGGATCTGATTCTCCCAGGTAGCAACTCCTCTACCTTCTGGGCAGGGTTTGCAGTTGTTTCCTTCTTCTGTCCCGGCGGTCTGTGGTCCCCTTCTGTGACCAGATCACTGCTCTCTCTGCCTGTGGTCTTTGCTGAAATATTCTCCTCTGGCTCCGAGCTCTCCTCACAGAAGTTTGCTTTCTTAGCATCTAATGCTCACTGATGCTCTTGCTCCCTCTCCTGCCCCTCCCCCAGCTACACTGCAGTCATGGACCTCCACTCCCAGGTCATGGCTGCTGCCCATCGTGGGGCACCCCAGGGCCCTCCGAGGCCATGTGTGCCAGGATCGGGGCTGGATCATCTCTCCTCATTGCCTTCATCATTGCTACTGTGGTTGGTGGATAAACAGAGCTTACCTGTTTCCTCCCTCTACTTTCCTTTTCACTTAAAAATGCTTTTGGCTGGATTTGTGAGGACCGGCCTTTTTGGGGCTCTCTCCCCCAGCAGGGAGGTATGCTTGTGAATTGAAGTCCCCACCTTAATCAGTTGCTCACTTCCCAAACCTGAATGCTTTGCCTCTTTGGGCTGCAATCACTCCACAGGTGTTTACGAAGGACCTTCTGGGTGCT